CCAGTGACGTCACGCTATCCGGTGATACTTCGCGGACCACGACACACCGTGGTCGTGGGGCCTAAGTGCACTCGTATGAAGTGATGATTAGGGACGTCACACATTGGGGTAATTCGGTCAAACCCCTATGCGGCACGCAAATGCTTGCAGCAGACAGGTATGAAAAGTAAAGATGGAACGAGGCCGGCCGCGCCTGATGTTCAATCGAATACCAGTGACGACACATGGCCAGCTGATGCATTACGGCATTCAGTTGACCCAAAAGAGCCTTACACACTCACGACCAGTGACGTCACATACCCAGCCGAATACCAGTGACATCATATCACAAGCAAAAGCCTTATGGCCTTCAGTCGGCCCGAAAGAACCCCGACCCCGATCGATGCAAAACCATTTTCAGTGACGTCACAATGTTAGCTGATGCCTCACAGCTTTTGCCCCGCACGACAATACTCGAAACCCTGCAGCTAGCGTAGCTCTTCCCTCCGTCGGCCATACAGGTACCCAAGTAAAAAATTACCGCCGTACACGTCTAACGTCTGAAGCCACACATCATCGACTCTACGTCGACTACCGAAACCTGGTTCCCGTAATCGACGCCAAACAAAATTAGAATGATATCCAACGACAATACCTCGCACCGGGACCGATCAAGCAAATGAATTAGACCAGGCCTGATTTGAACTCTGTTTGGGGTGCTCCAACTCCGTGACGTCACTGAGAGGAAATTGGGTATAATCCGGAAAGCATCCTGGTTTTCTAGTGTATTTGGCACTAGATTTTTTCCCGTTCGGCCTAACCAATCCTCTTTTGCGAAGCTCACTTCTATCGTAGAGTCTTAACGTAACACGCGAAAGATTCCGCACCAGATTATACTCCGGGGTCAGGTCTGGGACTTAGTGCCCATTTCCCAGCCAAAGACAGGGCTGAGATTCGCGGTTTACATTGGTCGTGGCCCTGAAGTCAATGAGTGGCCCCTGTGTTAGTCAGGGGACAACAGTGCCTGACAAGGGTCCGGCATTGACAGGGAGCTCAGATTCGGCCTGGGACAGTGTTCGAGGGGTCCGCAACAGAGCCGAAGGGTCCCTCGGGACCACTGATCAAGTGCCCGCTTGGAGGGCACCAGGGCAGGGCCGGGCCACCAAATGTCAGTTAGAGGATCTCCTGCACCGATTGGGGACACCCTGGGCCAGTGCGGGTCTCTGTTTCAGTCGTAGACTGCCAGCACCGAACAGCCGGCTCCGCGTCGGTCTGAGCCCTGGGGGCCCATTTCCTAAGCAGGGACAAGGTAGGAACCCGCTATTTGCATTGCTCGGGACCTTTGAAGAAATGAGGGCTTCTTTGTTGGCCAAGGACCCACAGTACCTAATAGAGAACCCAATGTTTGCAAGGGGCCTTTAGTCGCCAGGGCATCTGTTGGACAGGGACAGGGACGAGACTCCGAAAGCCAGGAGCCTCTTGCGTTGGTTGAGGCCCTCTGATAATGGAAATTGAGATGAGGGTTAACGATGTCCGTCCACAACGCGATAATGGAATGCCCTTTGTCAGGCAAAGCCCTGGTACCAGACGGAGGGCTCTCTATCCCATTTCAGCCAGCGGCTCGCTATGCCGAACTGAGGTTTATATGACAGTCACTGGACGCCTGCGACGATAAGGGGTCTATTTGGGAACAAGTGGCCGGATCAGGGGACCTCCGGCGTCAGGGAAGCGAACAACGTCTGATCTATCCCTCTCGGTATGACAGCCGGCGGGCACCTCACGCTGTAACCGAATGGCCCTGAAGCCCCTGACCGCGCAATATAAGGTGTCCGCTATTGGTCTACCTACTGGGTCTGTTGCCCGGAAAAGGGAAAGGTTTTCTTCGTGTTGGGCAGGACGAACCACGATGACCTCAAAAATTAAAAAGGCCAACGCAAACGAGGCGTCCATCCTTGTTTAGCATCATGTGTGAAACAAGCTGCAAAAAAACAGGTTTGGATCTGCGTACTCACAGCCTTAGGAGCAAGAGCACCAGTGGCCGGGGTTGTAGTTTCCATGAGACAAAGCGGCGTTGGCCGCTGCAGCTAACACGGAATGGTGAGCGCCTGGCGCCCGAGAACAGCCATCGTGAAATAATGCTGCCAAGGCTTTGAGAATAATTCTTACTTAACAAAATCTTAATAAGAAACTGTTCAGCGGCGTATATTCAACTTGTTCAACTTGTATATTCAACTTGGCGTATATTCAACAGTTTTGAGGTTCTCATCTGAATAGATTAACGGCGACAGCAATACGAAAATAGAGATTCGACCTTTACTCATTTAGTTCCACCATCCCATTCTTGCAACAGCTCGCCGTGCCATGAATGCTAATCCGTTCATGTCAAGAATCTAAAAATTGCACAGATGAAACATACCCCGTAGCACCTTCCAAGCGTTCCAACTGACATCCCAAAGCGTTCAAAAGTACTCCCTCCAGAAACGTTGTCGTTTTTGTCCGCCCGTTGGCCACCGTATAGCATTACGTACGGGACCGACGCGGCACGGCCTCCAGAGACTGCAACGCCGAGCATGAAGGTCTGTTGCGAGATTTGCGAGCGCACATGGTCAAAATCGGGTTACGTATTCCTTCCCACATTTGATTCTGAACAAAGTTGAGCATTTTGAGACCAAAACAGGTTGACGTGAATGTCAATTTACTACTTTATTTCGATCTAAGATCTACATTCACAATGTCTCTGTACAACCCACAGAAAACCCATTACGGCCCCTGAGTGCTATAAGCTTAGGAACGGTCCACTGAAATATTATAAAATGAATAGCACCGGTGTATTTTCTTCAGTTTATCGACTTCAAAACACAAACTGCATTGTATCTATTCGCGACTCCTGGCTTTTAAGAAGGGTAGGACTCTCTTCTAGATCAAGTGGGCCATACCCGATGACTTCTTTTCTGGGGGTGGGGCCTTTCCCCAGGGGGAGGGCTTGGTAAACACTGTGTCCCACCCCACAATTGCCAAGACTCTGGCTGCGTCCCTGCGTCAGTACGCTCATTAATCACCGAGCATGCGTATGTAAATATCATCCCATGGTAACGGAAAAGTCAGCTCAACAAGCAACGTTGTTACAACCAACCTGCATGACACATGATATTGATATGACGGGTGTTTCATCTTTCACACGCTCGAAGTGAAACAGGTGAGGACTGCTTTCCCTTCAGGAGCACAATAGCTTGGAACAGTGTCACCCCAGATCTAAAGCTGGCTTGCATTTCGTGCTCATCGAAAAGATGGGGGAAAAGAGGTTCTCGACAGGAGGGTGTCCGCCTGAGCGTATTAGCGGAACTGTATTGTTGGCTTGTGTGTGGAATGAGCATTAATAACGTTTCTCGTGAATTTGTTAGCATTAATGCTCACTGAAATGTATATGTTTTATCGATGAAATTTGGCGCCTTGAGAACTTGCGTATAAATGGGCTATGAGTCACGTATATTGTGGATACTTGACATTTCGTATGAACGGATGACTAAATACAAAACAAATTCTTAGCACATAATAAGTTATACGCCATTCTCATTTTTCGGTATGCAAGAGAGCTGCAACCGCACTCTTCAGCTGCAGGTGCCCTTATAAGAAGCAGATGCAATCTGTGAGGCTTCCATGCATGCGTGCTGTGGCTACAGCATATACGCTGTACAAAGATGTCAGCGTAGGATATATATATATATATATATATATATATATATATATATATATATATATATATATAACTGATAACCAAAACATTAGGAACGAAGTCCGAAAAGCGTTTGGCCCTGTAGCCTTATGACAACTTCCACGCATCTGCCCCTCCCGCCAATCATTTTCAGAAATCGATACCCATGCGCAGACACCACCCAAGGGCGACAGACGACTGTTAGCCGAGTCCTGCTCACAGACAACAGACAGCAGGTGTGAGGCGCATCGCACCCCGGCTGTGCCATGGGCCTGGTGCCAATGTCACCAAGCTGACAGACCTCGCCTCACCCCCGTCCCTGCCCTAGATCCGCTGCCCCTAGCCGCAGCTGAGCCCGTTTCGCAAACTGCTGGCTGGAAACTGATGGAAAGACCGGCCTCTATCCCTGCGGCAAAATTTGCCGACGCGTCGTGGACATGGCCCTTACCTCAACGGGGTCGGCAGCTGAGGCGCATCAAGGGCCAGGTCACGACACAAATCACCATACGCCAGAGGCCCACAAGCTTCTTCACAGTCGGGTCGCCACGTTAACGCGGAGTCGCAACGGACGGATGGGCGTACAGCGCCCTGCGGCCCAGCCAGTTTCAACAGACGCGTCGTCCCGGCCACTCAGTAATTGTAACGCCACACGACGCTTTAGAAACTGGACACGGGCAACCCCTATCCCACGCCAGCTTCGTCGCTGGCGGATTCATGGACTGGGCTAGTCCGTTTCTGGAATGAGCTGTGACGCTTTTTATGGGCCATACATAGAAGGCGAGTGGGGCTGGAAGCCACTTCCGCTGAGGCACAACTTAGTTCAATGTCAATTTAGTTTAGTCCGATACCATCTTACGTGGGGGGAAAACAAGAAACACTCGCCTGCCTAAGAGGTGGTAGGGATGCAGGTCCCCTACTCATTGGTGGCCACATTCATGCTGAGGGTTTGCCCTCCACTGACTTTACGATGTGCTCCCTAGCTCGCCCGCCTTCGAGCCGCCACTGGCATGCCATAGGCCTGGTGTGACCGCACCCACGCATTTGCCACTGGGCAACGTGTGGCCTGCCCAGCGTGAGGGTCATCACCATCAAACATACCGGCCCAGCAGCATGGGGGCCGCAGAAATAGCACGGTCATATGCACGCCACGTGCCGCTCGCCAGAAAGACCCGCAATTTGAGACCGTCGCCGGCAGGACCGGTGCAGCTACGGTAGGCAAAACTGTGCGCCAGGGAGAAGCCTGGGTCCCATCGCAATGCACGCATCGGGTCAACCATTCAGCTGTTACTAACCACGCTGCTATCACATCGCCTATAAAAGAGAGTGTATTCGAGTAAGGATCGGTAAGATAACTGATCACGATGGGTGCCCTGGACGCAAGTGGCGGCACACCGCCGGGGACTGTTAGAAAGTGTCTGGCCGGTGACCCTACCGGCGAGTTGCCACCCTGTCACCCCCCCCCCCCTCCTCCTCCTCCCTTGTGGCGGGAGAGCGCCTCCCAGTCGGCACCAAGCCCAGCCCCCACCCACAATACCAAAGGACGGCCCAGGCCATGACAGCCCAAGGCAAGCGCTCGCGGTCAAACACATCATAACAACGCCCCACTCCGTTAACGCAGCCCGTCCCCAGATGCCAGAGTTACAGAAATGCCCCGTACTCGCATGCTCCCGCGGGGAGGAACGCGCACCCACGCCAGCGTGTGCGGCGCAGCATTCCACGGGGTCCGGGCGCCCCGCACGCTCAGCAGCCGATGGATACCGCCGACGTCCGACGAGGCAGCAGACGACCGCGCCACATCCCCGACACGAACGTCAGGCAGCCGCTCAAGGCCGCCTCACAAGGGTATCACAGTCAACACATTTTGGTATGGTTGCCGTCAACGGAATGCTGCGCCTTCTGGTACACGGGCGGGGACACGAGAGACGCCGCAGGCGGGAGGAGGGCGCCTTCTAGGAAGGTCGCCAGCAAGTACAGTGCGTTAGATCGGAGCAGAAAAGAGCACCCACACACACAGCATCGCTGCCCGAGCACGACTCGGTACTTTGCGTCGGCGCCGACTGGGCCGCCCGCTCGGCGCCGTCGCCGCGGCTAGCACCCGCAGCCTCGGCCGACACCGGCTCCGACCCAGTTCTCGCCCGGCAGCGCGAGCCAGGCGCGCCGGGCCGCCGCACGTCCGCCACCGCTGCCCGGCTGCCGTGTGCGCTCCGGAGCAGCGAGGCGGTGCAGAGCGCCTCCCCGGCCGGCGGGACCGGCACGGCTGCTGGCCCCTCAGTCAGCCTTCCGCGTGCGCCGCTTCCTGGCCTCGGGACTGCCCTTCTCCTTAGCAGCGGCGGCGGCCGCACGCTCCGTCTCCGCCTCTTCTTCCTCCTCCTCGTCTTCCTCGTCTTCTTCCTCCTCATCTGAGCGTTTCTGAGCAGCCTGACGAGGCGCCACGGACTGGTCAAAACCGGACACGTCGCCAGAAACACAGAGATCAAGAGATACGTCGCCAGCCAAAGACACACACGAATGGCACACTTCTGAAAATTGCGAATTTCTCTCTAGGTGCACATTCTTGATACGATGTTAGGCATCGCTCTGTAGGTGGGATTTTCGCCCGACAGGACACCATCAGCCCCCGTCCCCCGTCTCCCCGCCTGTGGAGTAGCAGGAGGCCGAAGATGGAAGTACGTTCAAACGTCCATGTCCATTAGCGTGACTTAAGACGGGACATAGCAACAAAGCACCCATGCCATTTTTCTATTCCTGATGAGCAAATGTACATGTACCAGGTACCAATGTAATGTGCAAGCGCTACTAAACACGATACGTTTGCAGTTTTCATGTTTTCGAAAACACACGGCATGAAAACGTTGTGGGTCACTCATCCCTATTGGGAAACATGGCCGACAATTCACTGGCAAATGGAAGCTCATTCACTACTTTGGGGTGGCCTCATTCCTTACCCATGACGTCACAGCCATGCATAAGACGCCAGGAGACGCCAGGCCTTTTCAACACACACTTTCCCGTAGCATTGCGAGCGACCCAGCACGACCTGTACCGAACGCAGCCCATCCCTCAACTGCTGGATCCAGTTGGCTAGGACGAAGGACGGGCTCACTCACATCATCGTCTTTCTTAGTGATCTCGGGCGGCAGCTCGGACGACTTCTGGGCGCAGCAGACGTCGATGCAGCAGACGAACAGGAGACCCAGCAGGGCACCGATCACCACCGTGCCCAGGATGAAGAGCAGGTAGCTGCCCCACACCGGCACGCCGTACTCCTCCGTCAGGGAGGTGTGTACGTTCTGTCGTCACGAATGACCCGTCAGTGAGCGCAGTCGTGCCCGGCGGCGCCGGCTCCTCACGTTCTGAATGCTAACACACCGGCCGGCCAAGGTATCGTCCACACAGCAGAGCCATCAGCCACTGCACGTGTGTCTCACACTCAGCAGCGGTATCGGCAAATAAGGGAAAATGACAGTGAGTACGCAGTAAAGTGCAGTGAAGTACGCTCGATTCGCGTCCTATCAGGGCAAGAATTTGACGAATCTACTGTGACCAACACATCACGTGACCCTGATGCAATACGGTCCGGCGCCGTCGGACTCCTGTGTCGGGGAACCCACATGTAGCGCCATATACAGGGTGTTGAAACTCACCCTGAGTACCATGGACAGCCTGAAGAACTGAGCCAGCACCGACATCTGAATCGAGTCGGGGGCCTTCCAGCTGGAGACGGGCTCCACCTGCTCCCACTTTCTTATCCTCGACGAAACTGATGAACTGCTCCTCGGTCCCGCGAGTTCTTGTATTGACGAAACACGCCATCCTTGACGCTGATGGACAGTGAACGAGTGTTGGTATGCTGCCAGCAGCACCAGCTAGCACTGGCTAGCTGCAGTTAAATCAGCCCCGTCACACGCGAAAGCATCGAACATTCGATCAACGACACGGTACGCAGGACAAACCCAAGTTATGCCGTGCCATTTTTGAAGGAGTGGTATCGTGAATTAAGTCATAATGTTAAAAACCATTATGCATCTCAGGGGTGTGCTCAACAGCGTTCAACATCAAGGTAATGCCGTCCTTTCGCCCCATAACAAAGTATACCACCAAACACCGGACAAAACACGGTTCACCAACGGAGCTCCCCCGGAATTCCGGCACAAGACCGCGGGGCAAGCACCGATCAGTCACAACAATGGAGGCTGGTGAAGTGCAACATCGGGCAAGAGGGCGGGGTACAACCACAGCGTTTGTCTAGAAAAGCGAGGCTTAACACAGCCACGGGCAAAAAGAAAGTCTTAACATACAACAGCGGAACACGTCAGCCGCCTGCCCACCGCGCTGAGATCACGCGCCATCTTCCCGCTGGCCATCTTCCATCCGGATAGCTGTCGGCCCACTCGCGTGCCCGCACCCGGTAAAGTGTCATCACATTGATAACTAGATAAACTGTGAGGTGTGGATATGTATGACGCAAGCAGCGTGTATGTATTCGCTTAGTAATATACAACAAGGCAGACAGAACACCTACCCACCAGTATCAGCTGTTCCTCATCTCTGAAGAGCTGGGGTGTACCAGCTGTCAGAGGCCCTCATTTCTGGGCTGTATCAGCTGCGAAGTGTAACAGCTGCCGGAGGCCCTCATCTCTGGGGTGTACCAGCTGCCCGAGACCCTCATCCCTGGGGTGTATCAGCTGCCAGAGGTTCTCATCTCTTAAGTGCATCAGCTGCCTGAGACCCTCATCCCTGGGGTGTACCAGCTGTCCGAGGTCCTGTTTGTTGTTCAACCGCGGAAGATGGCGTGGCCGACACTTTGCGCCGCAGTGGTCGGCACACCGCGGTTAGGGAGATATGAAGACATGAAGTTTGTATTCATGCCATCAGCCGCACATAGTCTCCCAGCCTGCTGCCAGATGACCCAGTCTGAGTGTACTGGGCTGGTGCTGTTTCAGCTGTGGCGTTTTTTTCGGGTGTACCGGCTACAAAGGCCATTTCACCTGCATTCAGCTGCGGGTGGTGGTTTCACCAGTGACCAGCTGACTTCACTGACATCGGTGGTGACACCACATACTGCCAGCTTTGATGCCACCACACTCAGGTGATAGCAGTGTGCTGGTGCAGAGGTGTTTGTTGGTTGAACCATATACTGTGCCATCTTTATGCAAGCCTACATGGTTTCATAAATTTTGTTTTGAATATTCCAATGATGCTCTTCCTCTCTAATGAATGACAATCCTCCCAACTTATACTCCAATAACTTGGTGCATGCAAAATAAGGTGATTCACTTATCATGATTCTTACCTGAGCCTTCCAGTGGTGTGATCTTTCTATCCAAAATGTTTTGCACCGAACTGTACTCTTCATTACACAGAACTACCATGTATGTCTAAAATATGCCAAAGTTGTGTCTCAGTAATAATGTGCCCCACTAGGTCCCACTTAAATCACACCTATGAGTGATTCCCATGACTCACAATGGCATTCAACTCACTGGAATATTGTGGGCAAGGCAGTGATCATGAAGCGTCCACTCAGGCCCGGTGATTCTGTGATGTCCACAGCTCCGATCTTGATGTCCAGGTCCTGGCTCCAAGTGGCAAACTCAGCCCAGATAGGCTGGAGTGCCTTGCATGCTGGACACCAGGGAGCATAGCTGAAAAGGGTCAAAACACTCAGGCGACCTGCCACTGCAACTGAGGCTGCTGCAGTGAGCATTACCCTGCTGGGAGTGCATGATCCTGAGCCTCCCAGCAGCAGATGCAATGCCTATACCTCTGTACAGTCTCAAATAATAAAAAGACACAAACTCACAAATTTCCCTGTGCACCACTACTGTGAGTGTCCTTTGACATGACTGGTTCTGGTAAAGTGGTAAGAGCCCCATACATATTGAGTCAACCAGCAGCTTGAGGTTGTATTCAAAGTGTAAGTTCACTACTGGGGCCAGCAGGGTCAGGGGCCCAGCAACTTCAGTAAGTTGGCCAGCCCCCTTGGAGGTTTGGTGCCCCCCCCCCCTCAGCCAGCCCTTCATGCTGCCCATGCTCCTGAAACCCCAGTATGTCTAGGGCTGTATTCAGGGTTCCCTTTGTCAGCCATAGGAACCTGGAACCAAGAAGGAATCAACACTGAAAAAGGGTCCCATGGGTGCCCCACAGTACCTACGGTGCATGGACTTATAACCTTAACATAACCCAGGGACTAGCACTTAAGTGTAACTGAGCCACCTTTATCACCCTGCCTGGAGGCACCCCAAAGTAATGGGGGGCACCTCTCCCAGTCAGTGAGCCCACATGCTGAGCAGGTCACCAATGATGGACAGAGGATCTATATACCATCCAGGAGTCCCACAAAAGGAATGAGAGCAGGACTGTGGCTGCTCAACTTCAGTCACAGGAACTCTTTTCTCACAGTTTTCAGCAGTCAGATCTTCTTCAGAGACCCCAAACCTGAGATATCATCTGCTGCAACATCACACAGGAACTGCCTCCCCCCATTGCCCTCTGTGGCAGGAACAGGGTTGGGGCTTCAGAGGGTAAGTCAGATAGCCTCCTCTGGCATTCCTTGGGCCCTTGAAGACAAGAAAAGAGCAATAGCCCTCAAATATTATCCACAGAGCTCTGGTCTTGCCCCTTGCCTCAACCAAAGCTCTCTCAGACAATTTAACAGATTCACTATACCAAGGCCTTGCATTTTAAACTCATCTAAAACTTCTCCTAAAATAGATCCTACTGGATGCCTGTTCCAAGTTTTAAAAAAAATCTACAAACACAAAAATTACATCACAAAAATCAACAAAAACCAAGAAAATCAAAGAAGCTTTTAGCAAATTTAAAGGGAGCATCCCACCTTTCAAGTTTATGTCATAGAACATACCCTAGTAAAATCTCATGACAACTTATCTAATAAAGGTACTGGGTAGTGCCACTGCAACAATGCCAATATATAGTAAAGACAAAAATTTCAATTTCTTTTTTTAATCCACATTACTTAACCCATGCTCTGTAATAGCACTACTCTCCTTCTTTGTAGTTACAACCATTGTCATGACAACCATAGTGCCCTCTTCTACTGGTGTGAACAAAAGAATGTTTGTGATTGGCTCCATGGACAGGGACTTGTTGTCTTAAATGTTTCAAGCTTTCATGCAGTTATTAAACAAACATTTTGACATTGCATCAAAATGACAGTACATGTGAGCATGCACTTAGGAAGAGAGCACCTGCTTAAGAAGCTAGAAAGCTCAAAAATAGCTAGCAGCCAATCTTTAATGGTCTTGAACAATCACTAAAATGTGCCAGCACACTCTGGCTATCAGCTGGCATCTTCTGTGAACGATTGTCCCGCAGTGCCAGCTAGATGCATAGTGCGTATTCAGCATGGCTATTCTATTCTCATAACAAGCAATTATTTGAAATTTGTGTTTGCTCTCCAAGAGTCAGAATCAAATTAGACAATGGCTCTGATACTGGTTGGTATGTTCTGGTCTAAGGCTCACAGTTTTCTTCTTCACACTATTACATTCTGAAAGGTTGTGCAATGCTCAATTAACATCTAAGCATAACACACTTCTTCAGCCTTGCACTGGGTCAACCTACAAACATAACATGCTGAAGGAAGATGATAACAACATTGCTAAGAACACAGGAGGGAAGGATTAATTGCTGTCCTACAAATCATCATCCTTCACACATTCCCAGTTTTCCTCATTTCCACGAGCACAATTCACGATGGTGAAGTTGGAAGAATCGCGCCACTGGCCTTTATTATCAAGCTTGTGCACTTCCTAACTAAAATGGGCGTGACTGCCGGTGCCCCATACAGTGGGGGACCAATGTGGCGCACACCGAGTATCCACGTTATAGCCTACTTACAATTCAACCATCCATTCTCCATCCAGAAGTTGAGCCCAGTCATCTTCACCAATATTCTGCAATGTTCCTTTAGCGTTAGCAAGTCCGAAAAGCAGCACGACACAGGCAATTCCAGTAAGGACCTTCACACTGACACCCACAGACGACGCCATATTTAAAACTCTACGTCACGTCGCACCCGCGCCAAGATTGGTGAGCACAGTCAGCACGTAAGCGTATGACGTTGCTTGACGTCAAAGGCTTCTTTATCCCTCCTTCACTCAAATAAGTCTGAAGCAAATGGCGTCAGCATCGTTAACATCCCATCACTGCGTTTTCAATTTTTCATCCAAGACAAGTCATTGAATGCATACGTTTTCGGTTCGTGGCATTCCAAAGCCGAGCGTGGCCAGGATATCGCAATTAGGGAGAATGAGGAAGAGCTAAGTGATATTCTCCAAATAGACGTCACTTACTTTTTAAGGACAAAAACAACTGGTTTCAATCACACGATTCTCGTGAAAATCAGACGATATGTCACTAGAAGTACATTATTTGGAAAATAATGTTTATATAGCAAATCCACCAACGTACTGTCCTATGTTAGAAGGTGAGGTCGCGTCACGCCGGGGAAGTGTTCCACTTTCGTAAGGGGCTTTGAAATGGAATAGCCATATTGAAGACCTGTTGATGCGGCTCACGGCCATGCCCTTTTTAAGACCTGAAGCCCTCTGGTTTCGGAGCCAAAAGGCCGCAAAGATGTAGAAGAGTTATTATGGGAGAGTATTTCAAGCGCACCTAGGAATACGTGACACCTTAGACGACATTCGCTGCGTAACGCCATTGGGTGCAGTACCCTGATTCGTTGCATGGCGCCATTGGCATTGCATGACGCCATTCGTTCGGGAGTGATCATCTATGGCGAAGAAGGTGAAGATGCACGTCTTGGGAGAGGAAGGGCTTCCCATGACTGTGCTCTGATCAAGAGCCCGGCTCGAAATATAAAAAAATAAGAACTGGCTGGGAGAAAGCCCTTCAGCCCTCAGGCTACATGCACTTAAGAAAACCGTGTGTGTTAACACGTGCCCGGGTAGCCGGTTGAATGCCCCTTCTCTCGCGTGAGGGTGGGGGTGGGGAGTGGGGACAATTTGACCACCCACCTGATATCTCAGAAACTAAGAAAGTCGGAGGCGCAAAATTCACAGCGTGTGTTGGCCTGTACATGAACTCACTTATGCGAAAAGTTTGGGGTTCCCAGGTCATTATATTAGGGTCAAAAAGGTCAAACAAGGTCAAACTCCAGATTTCTGTCCGAATCGCCCCAAGAAACAAGATACCTGTTTTAAGCAAAAGATCACTGGGGCCCATTTAAGGTCTGACCTTGTTTAAACTTTCGAAGGCTATGGTGACCAAAAATATGCAAGAATGCGTTAAGTTTTGCATTTTAAGAAGCGTCAAAGATAACGCTAGGCAAATTGCTCCCAAAAAGAAAATGTTGACCTTGGTCATTTTAGGTCAGTGACCTGGTCTGACCTTTCAGAAGTCCGTAAAAAATTATAATGCGGTTCCTGTTATCGATAAATTTGCAAATGAGCACCAATAATTACTACGTACGGCAGGCCCTGCTGTATTCAAACAGGTTGAATCTGACCTTTGCCTGATCTCCATACGTGATCCTAGTTCAATTAGAATTGTTCATCCAATTGTTGTGTTGCCTGAGAAACTATCTCAGAGATGTGTGGCTTCGGCTAACGCTCCGTTGTTGCATCAAGCTGAACAATCCCCTAGAAATCGTCTTCGCTGAATCCCTGGTCAGACTTTGACCTGCCGTAGATCAGCGACCTTGCGAGGTTCACCTAGGTTTTTGATACCAAACTATCCGCTTTTCAATTGTCTACAGCCAGGCAAAATTTTGCGCGGCTACACCGCGCCGCTCGGAGACCATTCTGGTAAAGACATTTGAGGGAGCCAAATTGACCTCCCGCCCGAGCATGTGTTAAATTTTGACATTTGTTTTGAAATCTCACAGGCAGTCAAGGCGATATATGCCAGGTGGTACCGTCCCGAGTACGCACTCCTAAGCGAAGATCCATATGTGACGTCAGGGGGCACACCTTTGGTGCCGCGAAGTCTGCGAAGGGCCTTGCGAAGAGAATGAAAGTAGTCCTAGAGCTCCATGAAGTTTTGTTTTGTCGTACAAGACTCTTGCAATCTTCTGCAATATTTTGCAACAATTTGAAAATTTGTCTTTAGGGTCTTAGTGCCTAGCGAGAACACTGTGGATGGTTTTAGAGTACCATCTTGATTTGTTAAGCAGTACACGGCTCTCACAACATTCTGCAACTTTTGCAACATTTTCCAAAATCCCCTCGCAATAGCTTTGGTGTCCTCGAAGACTACTGAAAGCAGTTTGAGGACACTCTCTTTGCATTTGATGCAAGGAAGGTCCTTATATGTTCAGGCAGCCTGGCCGTCTTGCAAAGAAAATTACACTCAGTAATGTGCTGCACCCCGCGCTCATTCCGGACTATATAAAAGTGTGATGCTAGCCAATTCCGTATGAGACATAGGTAGATCACTGCTCGGAGTGGTTGGTGAGGCTGATTAGGGACATAACAACATCTAGAGGAGTCTGTGGAATGGTCCTTGCCATGCTACACCCGTTTGGCACGACTTGGGTCACGAACGCCCTGTCGAGTGTCTCGCCTACTTCCCCAGTGTGTCTTCGGTTTCAACAGAGGCTGACCTTAAATGCAATTTTAACTCGTCCATCGCTACCTTATGCTGAGCTACCATTGTGTCCATTGGTCCTAATAATCTATCAACTTGCATGCGAGTGGATGCTTTCGCCCCCTTTCCCTCCCTATCATCATGTACTGAATTCATTCGTCGTATCGTTATCAACTGCGGCCCGATAATTTTGCGTATTTGTTCTCTTCAGTGGCACATAGGATCGGGGTAGAGTACTGTTACCTAATATACTGCCAAATTTTGGGGTTTGGGAACCTTCACCACACATTTGCAATGTTCATTCCCCCTCACCTCGGAACGTCCGATTCATTCACGCGAGGCGTTCAGGTTCATTCGGATGAGGGGTAAAAGCGTATAACTAAATGTATTTTCCACCAATACAGGAGGCTCTCATCCTTAGTATCGCCCAGGTAGCGTCCTTGCCAATGTGGAGGCCTGCTCTTTACACGGGTGTTTCCTGGCTGGGATCTTATGCCGTCTTCGCCGGGCACGGCATCTTTCTTAAACGTCTTTACGAAAATCCTGTGACGACTGCGCCGAGTCGCGCCTTCCACAAATTATAGGGGGCACTGTCCCTGTTTTGTGAGAGACACCCAGACTGTTTACGCCAGTTTCAGTTGGCAAAGAGCATGGCAACAGCGCACAGCTAATACGTTGTTGTTCTGCGGCCCGGAGTGGCTCTTCATCCTTGGCATCACCCAGATAGCTTCCTGCCCCTAAGGAGAGCCTGCCTTCCCTTAATGCTGGCCACAAAGTGACTTACTGGCGGGATTTTATGCCGTCTTCGCCGAGTACATCTTCCGCAAACGTCTCTGCGAGAAACCTGTCACGACTATGGGTGTGACAGGTTCTTCTTCCGTAAAGTCTTATGGGCACCGTCCTGAGAGCTGAGAGATATATCCTGTATAATGGGGGCTCCTTTGACTGACGTCTCCTCCCTTTTGAATCAGGTCAGTCTTTCGACGTGATCACATTTTCTCTGACAGTCCAAAGTCCCACCTCCTTTATCTGCGAAGTCCCCAATGTCGGCAAACATCATGGGCATGGAAGCCCTGCGTGTTTAGTCTGGCCTTACGCGCCCGCTAGGTTGTTACAAGTGTGTCCAGATTTTTTCTTTGACTTATCCCCGGTAGCCGGGAAACATCGAGAGGATGCTTATTTTCTTCAAAGTTAGCCCTTCGTAGCCAGAATGGCTACTGCACACTGACGTTAAGTTCAATAATTTGTAACGTTGGTTGATCAGCGTGCTCCCCAATTTACAGTCGCTTCCTAAAATGCCTGATTTCTGCAGCTTATTGACCTCAAAGTGCAGACAGAATTGAGCTTGCGGTAGCTCCCGGTTTCTGTTCTGGTTACAAGGTAAAAATAATAAAACGAAGAAAACCGTGTCACTTGTTAACAAGTAAGCCATACCCGGGGATTTTTTGGGGGGGGGGATCACGATAAGATGGGCTTTTGTCAACCCTGTGTTCCCTCTTGGCAAGGCTCTGGGTACGCCCCTGCCTACACACAAAAGTAGGTCAAGTCGCACACGTTGCATGATGGGCAATGAAGTGTCCGTTGGGCCAATCCATGCCTAAGGTAAACAGCTTCCCGGAGGCTATTTTTCTGCGATGGTGTGGTATAAGAGAAGATAATTCGGGAAAAATACCGTTGCAGGTGTCCAACACATGCTTCATGCACCATGAAGAAGTAACGCGGATACAAAAGTATGCAACAAAGTAGCCACGCGATCAGCTTGCAGTCAGTCATGCGGGAGACATCCAGGCCAGGGCAGTGACCACCGACGGCGGACAGGAGCAGGACCCAGATAAAGAACATATGACAGATGGGCCTTATTATGTGGATTAATTCTTAAAAGAGAATCTCCAGTCTTATGGATTTTGTCACATTGTTTCTAGCAGTTTCAAGCTCCCGAATTTGTTTCCGCCTGAAATGCTGCGACAAGTCTTATTTCTTGAAAAGCAGCCAGCGAAATGAAGGCGCATGAAAAACCTGGCGCACTGTGAGCCATCGATCCACTTTCAAAATTCTCACCAGCCTATATCCATGCCGTATTTTGGCATCTACACTGTGGAGGCAAATACTTCCTTAATGACCCAAAATACCTACCCGCTCGTGAAATTTCGTCTCCCCAGGAAAGACAATGTTACAATGGACGAATAATATAGGGAAGCTGGATAGCCTTATTTGGCAAATGACAGATGAGTTGGATAAGCAAGATTGTGCACCAGTGATAGATAGCTCTAGATGCATAGCTAGCATAGCAGCCATGACATTTGAATAAAGAGCGATAACAATCTCCATCCTTACCCCCCCCCCCCCTCCCCCCCGGTCATCGGGCTCGCTTTCCAGAAAAAGTTCCTGAAGTACAGCGTGAGCTTGGCCCCCCTCCCCCATTTTGAAACGTTCCTACGCCCATGCATGAAATTGCAGAATAAGAGTCGTTTTTATTTAGTGTTCGTAGGCACAGTTGACCCTGAGACCCTTTTTCAGAGAAATCGGAGCTCGTCGCTGAAAAAAAATCGCTGATTAAATCGCGAACTTCACGGATATAGACGGACATGGAGCCGACTGTCCGGTGTTCGTGGTCCCTGACCGACTTATACCCCCACATTGTGTCAGGGGTCCCTCAAGCATCGCAAGAGAACCACTGAATGATATTTCAGGTCACTACCATACGGGCCGCGATTCTTTATGTGACCTACAGCCAGTCCTTCGGGTCCTTATGCACTCCAACCGGGCCTTTGATCTTCGGTTTCCGTGGGCCGCCCGGGCCCCTCTTCGGGCCTCATCAAGCACTGCCCTTGGTCGGCGCGAGGCCCTTTGTGAGCGCAGGATCCTCTGTTAGACACTGTGAGCCCCCTTACAGACACAGAGGCCCCGACCATTGTAAATCACTTGCCCCGGCTTTGTAGCTGATTGGTAAGTGGGCCTTCAGGCCCACACCGACAAGGAGCCGACTGTGCGGTACTGGTAGCGCCCGGCCAACATACAGGCCTATGTCGACTCAGGGGGTTCCCGATCGGCGCAAAGGGCCCTCTGACCGCTAGTTGAAGGTCCGTCTTCGCAGATCGGGGCCCCCGAATGAGACACCAACCAGCCGTTTATGTCCTTGGACCCTCCAATCGGGCCCTTCATCGTCGGACCCGGGGGCTACCTAGGCTCTTCGAGCTTCCTCGAACACTGCCTCTGGGCGACTTGGGGCCCCTTGACAACACAGGACGCCTATTAGGCGCTGTGTGGCCGATACAATGCAAATCGCTGGCTCCGGCTTTACCCCTGCTTGAGAAATGGGCCCTCAGACCCATGCCGCCACGGAGCCGACTTTGAGTTACTGGTGGAGTCTGACCGAAATAAAGGCCCTTAGCGACTCAGTGGGCCCCTGATCAGCGCCTAGCAGGGGTGTATCAGGGCACGCTTCGAGAATTTCCGGTCAAGAGATGAGGGGCCATTCCGTCTCACCGTGGGATATTTTCCGGTCACCATTCTGGCGACACGAGGCGGGATCCCCTTGCCGATCCGGAAGCCATTAGAGGCATATATCATATCACAGTGATGCTCTTTCTGACGCGGGAGTCCTCCATTGGCCGCAAGGCATCGGTTCCGCGGTTGTGGCACCAAGCGATGGCCAATGGGCAAACGAAAAAGATAACAGCATCTTGGGGAGATGGCTGGTAAACTAGGTAAATCAGCATGCATGATTAAAACGGTACAAAAGTAAGCTAAAGACAACTTGAATATGAAAACGTGCGCGGCCGGTTAGCACTGCTGGCCTCCTACCTTGAAAAGTGGGGGGCAGTAGCCCTATCGCCTGCTGTTTCTACACCCATGCCTGAATAAGACCCGACCAGCTCTTAGAATCCTTAACCCTCCAATCAGGCCTTTGATCGTCGGCCACGACGAGCCCTCCAGTTCTCTCCGCCCCCCCCCCCCCCCCCCCGAACGCTGCCTCTGCCGACTCCGGAACCCTTGCCAACACAGGGCCCTTGACAATACAGTGCCCACCGCAGGCGCTGTGGGGCCCCAAGCAATGCAGATCGCTGGCTCCGGGTTTGTCCCTGCTTGGGAAAATGAGCCTTTAGACCCGTGTTATCACGGAACCAACTGTGCGCTACTGGTGGTGCCTACCGAAATATGGGCACTTATCGACTCAGTGGGCCCCTGATCAGTGCAAGGACCCTCTGGCTGGAATTTGAGTGCTAGGCCCTGCGGATCGGGGTCCCTGATTGAGACCTTTGGCAGACTTTTCGCTGAAGGGCCCTTCGGAACCTGGGGGGGTGGGGGGGGGTACGTGCCCCCTCTGCCCCCTGCCTGCGCTACTGGTAGTGCTCGAACCTGCGGGCCGGGTTCCTGAATACGACCTCCGGCCGGACTTAAGTGCCCTCCGGTTCCTCTAATCGGATCCTTTATTATACGTTCCGAAGAACCTTCGGGCCCCTCGAAACCTAAGGGTGGCCGGTCCCCAGTCTCTGTGCCCCCCTTCCCTGCCTGCGCTATTGCGCGCACCTGCCCCGGGACCTTGGTGAGGACTTGCACCTCACGCATAACAAAATACTTTCTTACTTACTGAAATGGGCACAATTTGGCAGCCAGTATTTGATACGACAACGGCGCATTTGTTTTGTTTGTACTTTATAGGGTATCGGAGATGTTGACCGTAATCCAGGCTGGCTCGGGCCGTCATTTGGCTTGCTTGGCGTGGGAGGTATGGCGCTTGTCTCTTCCTTGATGTGCAGTGCTTTCTTTTATGCTTATAAATACCGTTAACTGCTGTTATAAACATCGATCAGGACCTGAGCCGCAACACTGAACGGAGTGTAGGATGCATTTGCCCCGTTGCCGGTCTACCTAATTACCATGTTGTCTGCCGCTTGCACTGATTTTTTAGATCGTACAGTTGTCTCATACAAACGTGGTTTACTTGGTGGTCATTATATGCTACATTTTGTAAAGTGACATGCAAATAATAGTTGGTACATGTACATGAGAAACTTGCAAGCATGTCATCATTGTGAGTTTGTATGGTATGTTTCCTGTTTCAGTGCTTGGTGAATACAATATACAGCTTTCTGTCAGGTATTCCACCAATTGATATGTCTGAAGAAACTGCTATGAAACCTGCACAGGGTAAGTTTTAGTGATGACCATTTAGCTCAAGCTTTTGAAGTTTTTTCATGATGATGTCAAAGTAATACAACATGCATGTGTAGCTGAAGCAGCAAGTTTTCATAATGTCAGAACAACATAGGCATGTGAGATCAAGTGCACCCTATTCAGTGCTGTTTTTTTACAGATCCAATGCACTCTGAATTGCCCTTGCACATGTAATGCTTGCATTCCTTGGTGCAGGGGTGCATAACTGGGTTTGGTACATGTACTAATGGTTTGAACTTGTGTAATGTTAATGGTCCTCCATATGTGTGAGGATGATCTAGTATGGCAAGTTTGGCAGCGACCTTTTGAGGAAGCTGACATATAAAGCATATTAAGAGGGTTTGGTAATCTATTTTGCTAGAAGCTCCAGTCTCCTCCCAACTTTGAGAACAAAGTAAGCCTGCATTGGGATGAATGGGACTTTTGGTGTACTTTTGTCATGTTTGTTTTTGTTTTTGTTTTGCTTTTGGTTCTGCACCAAGTTTATCTCACTTAACTATGTCCCTGCTGGCATGTACTCCTAAAGGCTACAACTTCCAAATGCTGCATGCCTTTGTGGTCTAGTGCACAATATCTCACCTAGCATAGCCAGTGAGCACTAGCGAGCAGCATATGCCAGAAATGAAGTACACAAATGCTGGTACTGAAATAGATTCATACTGCTCCTCTTGAAGAAAATAAGAATGAGCATAACACATGCATCTTTTTAAAATAACTTACTCAAAGTGTCAGTTACAGCATGGGTCAGTATGGCCCACTGGTTGGGTTGCTGACACTGGTCAGAACTGACCATCCTTTTTGCCAAATATTCCCTGGTTGCCGAAACTATAGCAGGAAGAAAATGGAAACCTCATCTACTACCACAGTGGTAGCACTTTGTGCATGAATCTATTATATTGGTCTCTAAGCATTTTCACCATGCTTCTTCCATCTGAGATGTCATGCTCTTGTCCACCTTCAGTGTGATGGTCATGTCCTTACAAGTGCACACTATAGCCTGCCATACATGTGCAGTCATCAAAATTTGGAAGATGTTGCCAGTTGGCATATGTGTGCCCTGCTGTCTCCAGTCTATGGGTGCAACTTGACTGGTAAGCTTTTCCAATATAACCATGATCAATAAAGAACAACCTTTCTCCTAAAGGTTGTTCAACCAGTACCTCCTCACATAAGGAAGATTTGGATACTTGGCAGCATTAAAGTTTTCAATTCACTCTGCATATATTTTTTCTAAAACTGCTGGATACAAAAGCCATCTAAACTTGAAATACCATTACTGTCAAATATTTCTGCCACACTGCATCCAAATTCATACTGCAAATGGCATCACAGACACAGTGATGTTCTGGTCCTCAATTATCAATGACATTTATTTTTAGCACTACACACCTCACCCTGAGATAATTGATACCCACTCTCATTCATGATAAAGCCTCTTGCTCTCAAACACATACCATTTTCATATAACTAGGACCTCCTTCTGATCAGTCCAACTTCAAATTGTTGGTCAAGACTGGGCCTCAGGGCCATATCATTACAGTTGATCATGCACATGTCCTAGACATATGCTGGATTTCCAGGGGCCTCCTAGAATTTCAGTGTGTGTTTTTGTGGACAAACACAAAAATATTGTCTTTGTCTGCCCCGTCTTTGCCAGCATACAGCCGCCCACCGTGCCCGAGCGGCGGCACCGTTTCCGTCTTCCAGTCCATGTGACATCACAGAGTCTTTTTTTGAAAACATGGTTCCTAGCTATGTGGACTTGTTCCTCACAAATATGTGGCACAGATCCTGAATGGTTTGCCACAAACAGGGACCCACATGATCCCTGGTGGCAGCCTGGTGGGTCCTTTGGTAGAATGGCTGATCCCTGAGTAGCCAAACAACTGGTCATTGAGTTATATCAGAATAGTCCAAAATAATTGAGGAAACTGCCTAAGAAAGGGAATGTATTGATAGACCAAAGCTGATAATGAACCTACTTTGTAACAATCCAAACCATGTTTTGACAATAGAATATGTGGCTTTGGGTGCAAGTGAGCATTGGTTATTGGATACATTAGGCGTCAAGTGTACCAGCAGGAGGTCAGGTGCAAGGTGATGATTAACTTATTCACATAGCGTATATTGCTGGCATATTTCAGCCTTTGCATTCTGATAAACATCATCCACCGAAGTTTAGGGAGCTTCACTTGAAGTGAACATTCCACATTTATAATGGGTTTGTGAAGTGAATTAGCCATCTTGAAGACCTTTCGGTGCTGTGCGCAATCCTTCCCTTAAGACCCAAGCCGCTTTAGTTTCTGAGCTACGTAGCCGTGAAAATGGAGAATGTATATCGAGGAGAGGATTTTAAAGTCACCCTGGCATTCATGACGTCATACAAACGCCATTCAAATCACGTCATTCCATAAGTCATGCGGCGATCAAGGCCAAAGAAAATATGAAATATTATTGTCGGAGCATTCACATTTGGCGTTCGTGAGCGCAATTTCCATACATAACGGCCGTCGATTGGCTCTCAATCAGTGTTGTGCAAGATACGATGACGTGATCGAAGCATGACGCATTGAGGAGCATAGTTAACTAAACAGAGTTGTGCTGTCTAGGGCATTTTTTTACTTAAACGTACACTTTTAGTTTTAAGTAGGCTTGTTTCATCACATCTGATGTTCAATATCTTAAAATGTAAAACATTCCCTTTAAGTACCAATAAGCCTGAAATTGGAATAGATGGGTTGTATGGTGGTCAACTAAATGCATTCTGATGATGAGAGAATATTTGCTCGTTGAACAGTCCTAACAGCAGCCTCATTTGATACATATATCCCTTTTTCAAAATGGATCCGTTTCACTCGCCTAAGTAATCATGTAGTCAAAGTATCACACACGTAATGTGTCTCATAGCTGATTGATTTCCAAAACAGTGATAGGTTCGTATCGCGATGACATGCTAATGCCATTCGTTTCTCTGTTCCAGCTGAAGTAAATCAGGATGATCTAGTCATGGCGCAACAGCGTAATATTGAGCAAGAGGTAAGCGATGCGTGTGTGCTGTTTTTGTGCTTGATGCTATCACTATCACTGTGCAGCAATGTCGGAAAATGGAAGGCACAGCACGCTGGGTGAGTAGACATGCGAATGTCGTCCATGCAACTGCAGTACCGTGCTTTGGAAGATACTGTAGGCTTTATGACCTGGTGTAATAGCCTGTGCGCTTGAAGGATGCGAGCAGTGAGCTTGCAAAGTGTTGGGCCGGTGAAGGTTTTTGGTGAAGCGACGGTGACGTCACGGAGTGTTGGGCCAGTGGTAGGTTCTGGCGGAGCTACGGTGACGTCACGGAGTGTTGGGCCAGTGGTAGGTTCTGGCGGAGCGACGGTGACGTCACTGAGTGTTGGGCCGGTGATGGGCCGTGGCGAAGCGACGGTGACGTCACTGAGTGTTGGGCCAGTGGTTGGTTCTGGTGAAGCGACGGTGATGTCACGGAATGTTGGGCCAGTGATAGGTTCTGGCGGAGCGACGGTGGCGCCACGGAACGTTGGGCCGGTGATGGATTCTGGTGAAGCGACGGTGACATTACTGCTGCCTGCTGACGCGCGCTGTTCTGTCACCAGATTGCCGCCAACACAGCTCTGGTAGGGGCCGTGGAGGAGGTCACCTGTCTGCTGGAGGAGTACGCCAGCGACGCCGTGTACCAGCAGAAGGTGGGCGCCGACCGGCCATACCCCCGCCCCGTGATGAGGGCACGACCCGCGTCTTATCCCGTGCCACGCGCACCACTGGTTGCGTGCACAGGAGGTTTGTGTGAGTTTTGCGCCCCAAGTCAAAGGCTTGTCCGTTCGAAAAGGGATTCCCTCCTTCCGAGCTGCGTCGAGCTGCTGCGTTTGGCGTTTGAAGCAAAATCGCTGGTCATACCATCGACATGTCACCCAGAAAACTCTTGGAAACGTGGCTAGAGCTCCCCGGCCATTTGCCCGACATAAACGAACATCAACGTTGTTGGCTGTTGTTTGTCCGCGCTATGTAAACAACCACGGCTTACGAAACTCGAGTCGCCACTCAGTCAAATCAGGAATGGCCTGAGGCCCTGACGTCACAGATGTAACGGGTAGCCATGACGCAGGACGAATACAGATACCCCAGATAGTGAAAAGGCCCTCAATTCCCAACGGAAGGCGAGGCCCAGGGCGAATTTTCACTAACGCTACGTTCTCGTATATATCGTTACAGCTAAGGAGAATGCGCAAATGGGTGGATGATCTGAAGTTTCCAATGCCTTGAAATGCTGCGAGCCGGTTCAGAACGGATGATCTGAAGTTTCCAATGCCTTGAAATGCTGCGAGCCGGTTTAGAACTATATAAGCCAAGTCAACCCGTCACAGAGCATAGGAGAGCGTTTTTCAAGGAAGGTCGCGAGGAGTCGTTTTCGGTCGCCTCAGTGCTGTGGAGACGGGTGAACATGATCCGTCCTTCCCATGCTAAACGGTCTCAAAAGGAGTAGTCGATTTTATTTGGAGGATTTACTATCTGAGGAGAGCTCGAAAGTGGAGAAACAATCTGACCATAAACGCCCTATTCATGTGTCGTAAGTGGAGACGCGAATGGCGGGGAGTGTGTGGAATGTCGGGGAAGGTTATTGGTGAGGTGTGTGCTCAATGTCGAGAGTGTCCATTGGCGAGGTGTGTGCTGAATGTCGAGAGTGTCCATTGGTGAGGTGTGTGCTCAATGTCGAGAGTGTCCATTGGTGAGGTGTGTGCTCATTGTTGAGAGTGTCCGTTGGTGAGGTGTGTGCTCAATGTCGGGAGTGTTCATTGGTGAGGTGTGTGCTCATTGTTGAGAGTGTCCGTTGGTGAGGTGTGTGCTCAATGTCGGGAGTGTCCATTGGTGATTTGTGTGCTGAATGTCGAGAGTGTCCATTGGTGAGGTGTGTGCTGAATGTCGAGAGTGTTCATTGGTGAGGTGTGTGCTCATTGTTGAGAGTGTCCGTTGGCGAGGTGTGTGCTGAATGTCGGGAGTGTCCATTGGTGAGGTGTGTGCTCTATGTCGAGAGTGTTCATTGGTGAGATGTGTGCCCAATGTCGAGAGTGTTCATTGGTGAGGTGTGTGCTCAATGTCGAGTGTCCATTGTTGAGGTGTGTGCTCAGTGTCGAGAGTGTCCATTGGTGAGGTGTGTGCTCTATGTCGAGAGTGTTCATTGGTGAGGTGTGTGCCCCCATTGGTGAGGCGAGGGTGTATGCCCAATATCGGGTTTGTCCACTCTTCTCCAGGAGCCGCCGTGGTCATCACGATGAGCCACGGTGACGGCGTGAGACAGACGTGCTGTGTGTCTGGTCCGGCAGCCGCGTGTCTGATGCCAGGCCGCACGCCAGTGCGCGGTATTCCGTGGGCTGGCAGTGTTCGGACCGCTGTTGGATTTGGTGCGGCCGGTGCGGCTGCGTTGGACGCCGCATGTGGCCTGGCCGCCGCTGACTGTTGTCCCTCGCGCCAGATCAAGCACCTCAACACCAAGTACCACTCGCTGCGGCGGACCCGGCCCGACGGCAACTGCTTCTTCAGGGCCTTCGCCTTCAGCTACTTCGAGAGCCTGATTGGCGACCAGCAGGAGTTCGAGAGGTGGGCAGGCTGGGGCACGGGGAGGCTCAGGGTGGGAATGCCGGGAGGCTCAGGTGGGAACGCCGGGAGGCTGGCGCGATGGATGGGCTCAGCGTCCGCGTTCCACGTGCTGCTGCTGTGGCCCGTCACGCCCATCTGCCGTCACCGGCCGTGCTGCACAGGCGTGCTGATGACACTCATTGCAGAAACACGAGACGACGCTGGTCCATAGTGTCATGCATCATGGGCTCAATGTCCGGCATGCTTTTGGGTATGTTGGGGGTGGTCACTGATGCCTTTGTCTTGTTTTAGGTTTTACAAGATTGCAAAAGACAGCAAGGACGATTTGATAGCACTCGGATTCCCGAAATTCACGTTAGAAGACTTCCATGATATGGTAAGCGCTGGGTCCAGTTGTCATCGCGTTTTATTCCTGGGACATAAATAAATAAATGCTAGTTAGAAGGAAACTGAATCATTTTATTTACAGGCAGAAGCGGGTTTGGATGTGCCGATTTGTGTTTGAACGTGTGGAACTGCTGACCAACCTTGTGTTGCACCGTTAGTGATATCATGGTTGTCTTGCCACGAATTTCTGCGACCTGATGGAGCTAATGTAACACGAGTGATGTCCACATGTGATGTGGTGCTCGTGAGGTTCGGATCCGGTGTCTCCAGCCCAGTGTGCACTGCCACTAGTGCGGTTTGTATTCAGATAATTCCAGGCTGATCATGAACACAAGTCCAAATGAATAGAAAACAGTGAATGACGGAAGACAAACAACCAGCTCGCGAGACACTAAACAGTACAGCACTAAACACTCAACTCAGCTGGCCACCTCGCTACAACACTCAACTCAGCCGGCCACCTCGCTACAACACTCAGCTCAGCCGGCCACCTCGCTACAACACTCAGCTCAGCCGGCCACCTCGCTACAGATAGTGAAAAGTCCGCCTTAGAGCGCCACTCGGGTCTAGCGTTTCACATGGCGGCCAAACCGGCGGCGCTGCTGACCATGTTCTTACGGAGCGCAGTTTATCGAGGTGCTGGACCGAGTGAAGTCGGCCCAGTCGGCCGACGACATCGAGCAGATCCTGCAGGAGCCGGCCTACTCCGACTACGTGGTGGTCTACATGCGGCTGGTCACCTCGGGGCACATGCAGAAGAACGCCGACTTCTACGTCAACTTCCTGGACGGCTACCCCAGCGTCAAGGACTTCTGCGCGCTGGTGAGCGACCGTGGCCGACCGGTCACAGCCGGTCGCACCAGCGCCTGTCAGCGGCTGCGGCGTCCCAGCCGGGCAGGACGGCCAGTACTAGTGCGGCCATCCTCAGAAGACGCGTTTCATTGTGCTGGTGTGGCGCGGAAGGCCTTATGGTGTTATCGGTTGCGCTCGTTAGCTTGCGTACATGCAGTGGAAAATTACGGTTCTCAGGATAGATGGTCAACTTCTAGTGGTGATGTAATGCCCGACTGGTCTATTTTCTTGCGTATTTGGGTGGGTGTTGCTTATATAGATGTTCAAGTAGCGCATGCACCGCCTCTGCCCGCCGTGAATGCAGGTGCTGCACTGATTTCCACCAGCATCCGTTCCCTGGCGGTCCACAGGAGGTGGAGCCCATGTACAAGGAGTCGGACCACATCCACATCACGTGTCTGACCTCGGCCGTCGGGGTCGGCGTCCGGGTCGAGTATATGGACCGCGGCGGCAATGAGGTCAACGCACACGACTTCTGCCCCGAAGGCGTGGATGAGCCCCGCATCCGGCTGCTCTATCGGCCGGGCCACTACGACATCCTGTATCTGTGATTCGGGCTGACATCTGCCGGCCACGAAAGCAATTTCAGTTTCTAATGGCGGTTACCAGGCGGCGTGCGCCCCGCCCACATGCGACCGCGATGGGCAACTTCGCGCAGTGCTCGGCCCCCGGAGGCGCGGCACCGGGGCGCCGTGCCCCTGCTCGGATACGAGCATTGTCCGGACAAGAAGAAGGTGCACGTGCCCCCACTGCCCCTGCCGGTCCACGTCGACAGATCCGTGCTCCTTGCCAGTCGGTATGGCACCTGGCGTCTTGAGGGGCGCAGAGGTCACCTCAACAGCGGGAGCCCTGGTGCGCGAGCCGCTGACCGGCTCGTGTACTCTGCCGTCACTGCCAACTCTGCTCCCGGACGACCTCCGTCTGACCAGACGCCACGACCGCGGCCGCGGCCATCCGGTAGCGCATCTTCGCGGTGTCATTCCTCCCCCGTGCGCGTCCTCCGTTGCAGAGGCGCTGCAGAGGGATGGGACGCCGTATGGGGCAAACTTCATCCCATCCGTGCAGTGGGGTGTCGTCGATGTCTTCGTCCTCGGCGCGATCCGCATGAAATAAACTGATGCATGTGATAGATGTTCTCATTGGTGACGCTGTTGACTTCTTGCACCTTGGTCTGTTATTGGCATTGAACATGTTGACCGAAGTACAGTTAAATAAATGGTCCGATTGAAATAAACAACTATATTTTTTCGAGAAGTTGCCGAATATCGAGGACAGTTGTGACCTCTGGAAGTTTCAAAACAATTACACGGTCACGCAAAACGTGCTCACGTGTTGTGGCGCTTCTATTGCACAGGTAAGGTTTCATTGTGACGACCACGCTGCACCTTAGATGGTCTTGTAGCTCTGGTACAGCACTGAGCGGGTATCCGCCATGCCTCCCTCAGATCCACCGGCACCGTACCGCGCCGTAATCCGAACTGTCTGCCGGTCTGAGATGATCGTACACGGCACCTCCCGGCAACAGTCCTGGTTAACCGACCTGCGCCGTTCCGCTCAGCGGCGGCGGGCGATCTCAGCCCGCCGGTGTCCGCTCATGCTGGCCATTCGTGCCGATGTGTCGGACCGTGCTGAGCGTGCACTCAGGCCGGCCTGCTCAAGGAAGCCCCGCTGCCCTACCCAGCTGCCCTATGCGGCCGCTCCTGGAGTCGGGTGGTCCAGGGGAATCCTTGCTTTCGCGTGCCCTATGCGGCCGCTCCTGGAGTTGGGTGGTCCAGGGGAATCCTCGCTCTCGTGTGCCTCCTCCCGAGATATCCCTGAACCTGCGGGGCACTGCAGAAAGGGGTTCTTCCCGGGGGCTCGCTCAAGTGACCCTGTGCCTCCTCTGCCCCCTCCCCCCCCCCCAGACAAGCGTCCTGTGGAGCCACGCCCGCACGCCGAGTTGCCGCTGCCGGCAGGCAGCTCTGTCGTCCCGCCACCGCCTTGTCGACATTAACGAGGCAACAACGCGGCAACTGAGCGCCGTATGCATAGCCGGGGACGTGGCGGCGCCCCCCGGCGCCAGATGGCGCTGTTTGTAGATTAGACCTCATCAGCGCTGACGGCGCCAAGTGTTGAAGAGAGCGACTCCGGTCCCCGGACGCTGCCGCGGCCCCCGCCGCGTCCCGCCCTGATGGCGCGCTCGTCTCGGCGCGGGCGCGGCCAGAGTGGCGCGGGGGGCGGCGGCGCGTCGTCCGCAGGCTGGCTCGGTCAGCTGAGCGAAGAGTATGCGAGTGACGTCAGAACTGGCCGTGACCCAGGGGACAGGACACCTGCCAGTACTGCTGTTTCCGTGCTCAGGCCGCCATTCGAGCGTATGAAATGCCGCGAGCCGGTTCATGCACGCGGTTGTTTATTTATGCGGATTACTTGTAGTCACATTGATACCGATACGCACTTCTTATAACATTCGATCGCGCACGCACGTCTTTTCTACATCGCGTTATTTTGCACTCCCGATTATTCGTATTACTGTTTTTCACACATGGATTTCTCTGGCTGCGGGGATGCCCGAGTGCGTACGTGGCAGGCGGGCGTGAGCTGATGCTGGTAGCTCATGCGTTGTTCTCATATCCGCAGAGTTTGCGACTGGCACCCGACAAGAAGGGGGTGCTATCCTAATTATAGTGGTGTTCCTTTGGAATATTCGCTGCTTGTGGTATTTGGACGACTCGGTAAGTTGAAGTGTTTTTTATGTGGAACGATGAGCAAGTGTTATGCCACTGGCTTAAAGTAAGTATGCATACAGTTGCACACAGCCTGCCTCCATAAGAACATCCCTGGGCGTTGTTGAAAACTGCTGCTATTTTACAGGTCCAGGAACCAAGGGTGGATTTAGTGAGGGGATGCAAGTAGTTTGCCCAAAACTTATTCAAGACCCACCCACGAGGATCGCAGAGCATAGGGGATCCTCTGTAGAATCGATGCGTACCTTCCCGGGAGACCCACGACAGCACGTTAGCGTCCATGGATGAAGCGATAGTACTCAAGTGCGAGCGTGGCTCAGAAGCCTACAGAAACCAATCAACGACAACTGACAGAACATCCGGACTCAGAAGATTGCGGGATATCAGCTCTAGTTGCTTGCCTTCACCCGTATAGAATTGACGTAATCCTCTCTAGAACAGTCACACAAGGTTTAGAACCATTGCCAACCAACCGGCGGCCGGATGCTTAGCAAGGGTTCTCGATTGCGAACGTAACATGTGCTCGGGTGGTGGGTCAAATCGCCCTCTCCCCTCGAGGGTTTTTCCAGAGTGGTTTCCGAACGACGCGGCACAACCGCGCCAAATTTTGCATAGCTGTAGACAACTGAAAAGCGGATCGTGTGGTATCAGAAAATTGGATATACTTTGTAAGGTTGCTGACCTACGGCATGTCAAAGTCAGGCCATGGATTCACCGAAGTATTTCAAGGGAATTGTCAATCTGATGGAACAACAGAGTGTTGGACAAATCCATCTCTGATATACTGTCTTTGGCAATACAACAATTGAATGACCAAGTTTCAATGACCTAGGGTCAGATATGAACGTCAGACCAAGGTCAAGACCAACCTGTTTTATTACTCTAGGGCTTGCCGTTTGGGGTAGCTTCTGGTGCTCATTTCGAATTTATTGATCACAGGAAACGCATTAGACATCCTCCGTTGACTTCTTATAGGTCGGAATAGGTCACTGACCGAAAATGACCCAGGTAAACATTTCGTTGTTAGGAACATACTGCATAGCTTAATCTTTGTCGCTTATTCAAATGGAAAATTTAAGGCAGTCTGCTATGATTTTGGTCACCATGACCTTCGAAAGGTCAAACAAGGTCACTGACCTTCAATGATCATGTGACCTTTTGGTTAGAACAGGTATCTTGATTCAGGAGGCACGTTGGGGACCAACATGGAGTTTGACCCTGTTTGAGCTTATTTGACCAGAAGGTCAAAGACCTAGGAGGCCCAAGACCTAGGAGGCCCAAACTTTGACCTAAGTGAGTTCGCGTACAGGCCAACACACCCTGTGAATTTGGTGCCTCTGGCCCGCTTGGTTCCTGAGATCTCAGGGGATCAAATTGACCCTCACCCGAACGAAGGGTATCCAACCGGCCACCCGGGCGCGTGTTAAATACTTATGACTCACTGACCCAATTGTCCAATGCTCACTAGCACAGCCAAGACATTCGCCAGCTCCATGGAGTCGTGTATGGAAGCATAAAATAATGATGTATGCGATCGGGTGATAAGAGAACTCCTCAAGTTTGGGCCGCGGCCAATGAACAGCAGAACGGAAAACGAAGAGCAGAACAACGGGGAGAATGAGGAAATACCAGCGTTCCTTCCCTGAGTATCACATGTTTCATGGAAAGACGGCTTACGACAACGCTGCGATGTAAACAAAAGTGTTCGCGAAGAGAAGTAGTGCACGAAGAAATGGGGTGCGAAGAATCACATACACGAAACAATGCGTTCTGAAGAAATGCGTGCATGAAGAGAAGCGGTACGAAGAACCGCGATCCGAATCAATGTACCCGCGGAAAATGGCGACATAAAGTATTGCGTGAAGGTACATGCAAAGTTTGATTGTCACGAAGACTTGCGGATCTAAGGCATTACTCATATGATAATTTTCGTATGAAGGCTTGCAATATGAATATTGTTGTACAAACCGTTGGATGCAGATGACTGCGATGTAAAATTTGTGTGCGACTTAATGGGCCACGAATAACTGCGCTACGAACTTTTGTCCCGTCACAGATCCAACCGGACCCTCGTCACCCCTCCGGCGGGATACTGAAAACCCCCGCCACACACTGGCACTGTTCTTTGTGGGTGCTTCCGGCGGGACGACTGGCTTTACGGTGGCTGGAATTGGCGGGTGTCGGTGGGCGCTCCGACGACCGCGCTGGGTCTGGATCTAGCCAAGGGAGGGTCTCATCGCTCGCTGTTTCGGCGGGGCGGGCCGCAGCGACCGCTCGCCAGCCTTGATGGGGATTCTTAAAACAATGCCACTTGTGTGACTGATGATGCAGACAGGTGACGACACGTCAGGCACATGGTCTGTGTGCGACCCCTGTGGACGTGCCGCACCGCACGGCTCTGCCTCAGTTGTTAGCCAGACTGTGTTATTTTACGGCGCAAGGGACCGCCGTTGCGTCAATGTGGGGCTTTGAGTTCAGCACTATGGGTCTACTGAAGCCATCAGTGTATAGGAGCTTGGAATCCCATCCAGTGGTAGATGACATTTGAGTGTGACCATCCTCAACGCAGAGGCTGCTGACATGCGCTACAATACTGCTCTATCTGAGCTGAGCCTGATCCAGATGATCCACCAGCCAGCACATCCGCTGCTGACTCCCACGGCACTAGATCACACCATAACGAACGTCAACAATAACGCAATGTACGGTGCAGAAGCGCTCAGAACCCCTGTCGGCGATCACCAGCCAATGGTCGTCAACGTCCCTATCGGCCGGTTCCGGAAGCTGCCCACAAAGCGTGCCGCTCGGAGCTGGGAGCGCGAAGACTGGAACGCAGTTTGCTTGGACCTGCTGCTGGCCGATTGGTCCACTCTCGACACCAACGATGACGTAGGCAAAATGGTCGAAATCTTCACGAAGATGTGGAGGGTGGCCATAGATCGTCACCGCCCAGCCCATGCCACGCGGTGCCTCTGACGGGGCTGCCCATGGCTTTCAGACAGTCCTGAGGTGCGCCAGGTCATGTCTGAGCGCGGGACGAAGTGCACCAGGCCTGGCTACATCTGCACACTCCCGATTCTCGTGCGGGCTTCTGCCCTCTCCGGAACTGCGTCAACGATCGGCTGGAGCAAGCACGCCGAGATTTTCTCAGTCGCCAGCTCTTGACTTCCACCGGCCGAGATATCTGGTCCAACCTGAAGAAGCTCTACCTGACGCCTGCCGGCTCAGCACCTACAGCCCAAACCACCAACGAGACAGAACAACGCACCATGGCGGACCGTTTCAACAAGTTCTCGTCGCTGGGCTCCTGAATCGCGGTCGACCTGAGCGACGACGTCACAGCCGGTGCTGACCCGCGACCGTCCATTGTCGCATCGGCAGCGTTCCAGCTCCACCAGCCATCCTACCGGTGTGGGCAGGAACTGTGAGATGCATGAACTTGTCTGGAGCGGTCGGCTTGGACGGGGCGGCGCTGGGGGCGGTCAAACACTGCTTCGCAGTGATAGATCCTCCATCTGCTGCCCATTGTCA